AATTCACCCAAGTAATGCTTAATTTTCAGATTATAGTTTGACAATTATCATGATTTTAGCTAGGTCCTCGTTCATTATTTATTTAAAGTGCCAATTTTCAGTGTCTGTTATGGAAAGAAGCTTATTTTTTACCGAATGTCCTTCAAGATAATCCTGACTCCTGGTGATTACATAGGCTTATCTTCTTCCAAGGGTTGAGAAAGACTGACTGGTTCAAACTAGTAGGCTTCCTGCTTTAACTACCAGAAAACAATTATGAGCCTTGAACTTGCAGTATTGTGAATTTAATCAACATCATAACACACAACAGTGGAATCCATGGAACTATGGTTCAATAGGAAAGTAATTTCTCCATTATTCATTATTCATTATTAAAATAGCCTAATTACCTACTAAGTCTGTTGAAGATCATTCTGGGTTTTTTTTAAGTGCTAGATTATTTTTATGATGTAAATCACAATTCTACCAAGAACATTGTTCACACTTCTAGAACATTTAATTTGGTTGGTGTATTTTCTGAAGAATTTCACAATTCTTTTGGGCTTGCAGAAGGAAGGAGGAATGATCATTTGTACAACTGAACACATATGCATACGAACCCTTAACCATCTACTTTTTTCTCCTATAAAACCTGAGGGATAGATATGTTGTTAGTGCAAGGCAAAACTAAGGAAAGATTTTATATCAAAGATGCTGAATTTGGAAATTAGCTCATATTAATAGTATAGTAATTGTGCAGATGTATTTATGTTGTCATAATTTCATTTAATAACATAGTATTGAAATATACTTGTTATAATGAAAAAAAGAGTGATTTGATGATAGGAATGTCTATGGAGATTCCCATTCATCCAGATCATGGTTGTCCCAAAGGTGCTTTTTCCAAAAGGCAACTGGACTTTTTTTCTTTGAAGACTTTTCACTTTTCATCCTCTTCAGTTCACTTCAGTTGATGATAGGAAATGCAATCAGAGTCAGAAAAAAGAGTTGGATTGGCTCCTTTTTGTCTACAAGTGACTTTTTATAGATATAGATCTGTGCAGTGCATGGAAAATTTCCTATCAGGCAAACAGAACTTTCCAATGTTTTGGCAAGTCTCATGCTTTGATGAACATGAGCATACCATTCTCCATTTTCTAAGTTCTTGTTGTTCACAGCTTTAACAAAGTACAATGCTTTTCCACAATGAAGGCTGAATTATCAGGAAAATTAAATCATGCAGCCAATAATGGATTAGTATGTATATTTCTGTTGCAGATTGGTCTTTTAAGTTAAAAAATCAAATCTTTACTTGTGGTTTCCTACTTGAGCATGGGGTTAGACTAGAAGACCTCCAAGGTCCCTTCCTACTCTGTTATTCTGATAGCCTACAAGCAAGTGATCTTTTGCAATGTGTTTACAGTGGGTCATTTCCCAGAATACATGACAGTAAAGCCTAGGCTGAACAGACTTCTTTGATCAAAGTTGGATGTACGGTAGTAGACACAGTTTGGGAATGACGATTACTGTGAAATAATTAACAGCTATTTAATCAAGGCTTTACTTCTATTCAGGAAAGGCATGGGAAGATAGCAGGAAGGTGCTTTCCTTAGCCTCGGTTTGCAATACAGCAGGGTACTTTAGGTTATATATTTTCAGCCATGTGCAAAACATTAGATAGAATTTGAAAAAAATCGACCTTGTGAAAGGCTAGGCTTTGTATGGTGTGGAGGGAGGAATGCCATCATCCCCTCCCTTTATGTTCCTTTGTAAAGTCTCTCCTGCCTGTGCAGTCAGAATTGGAAAAAAAAGTAAACCGCAAAGTAAACCGCACCAAACTTGATTGCAGGAAATACGACTTCAGCAATAGAGTGGTCAATGTCTGGAATACTCTACCCGACTCTGTAGTTTCTTCCCCAAACCCCAAAAACTTTAACCTTAGACTGTCTACTATTGACCTCACCCCTTTCCTAAGAGGCCTGTCGGGGGCGTGCATAAGCGCACCAACGTGCCTACCGTCCCTGTCCTATTGTTTCTCTTATTCTTTTATTTTTCTTATATGTAACCATTTCATGTATTCACAACTATGTATACATTTATACTTATTATCTTGTAAACAATTGGCAAATCAAATAAATAAATAAATAAATAAATAAATAAATAAATAAATAAATAAATAAAAGGCTGGGAGTATAGAGCCCAGTCTGAAGAAAGAGGGCTCCTCTCACCCTCCGTAGAGACAGCCTGATTGAAATACATTGGGGTGTTTTTTGCCTGAGGAGCTGAACTTTTTTTCTTTAAGCTGTAGTTAAATGGTGAAGTTCAAGAGCGAATGGGAAAAATAGCACCCAACTGAGCTTGCCTGAACTGTTATATCTGTATCAGGCAGCATTAAGGCTGTGTCAAGGGCAGGAGGAGCCCAGCAGGAATGAGGCCATATACCTGGGGGTGGTCCAGAAGCAGCAGCCCTTTGAATAACCCCACCAATGGAAAAACACTGCAACAAATAAAGCCACTGACAAAGTCCTTCTCTGGTGAATTGCACTGCAAAGTGTCTCAAGTGTTCCTAAGTTATCAAGATGTTGGCTTTTTTTTCTTATTTCTTGTCCCTAGTGTCTGATAATAATAAATTTGTTGGGTTCTTTGACATCCAAGCTTCTCCTTGCAGTCAACCTGGCAGTTCACACCTCCGGAAAGGAATCTCTTTCTGTCCGCTGGAGTCTTCTGCCCTTCTGCCCTTCTTCATTTATCATTGCTGTCAATAACCTTTTGCAAATTTACAGTTAATGATAACAGCGTTTTCCACTTTCTTTTGTTACCCCTTTAGGGAATTGTACAATTCAGGGGTCTTCAAACTTGACAGCTTTAAGATTTGTGGACTTCAACTCCCAGAATTCCTCCTCTAGTCATGTTAGCTCAGGAATTCTGGGAGTTGAAGTCCACAAGTCTTAAAGCTGTCAAGTTTGAAGACCTTTGATGTAGGAGATAATCAAATGGAAATAGGGCAGATGGGCCTTTTCAGATACTCAGATTTAAAGCTGGCATCAAGTTCCAGCTCTAATCTTTCAAATTTATCTCCTGCAAGTAAGTCTAACACTTTACACCCAGTAAGTAGTGGTCCTCTCTGTATCCTATTCTATACAGTTTTACAATTTAGTTTGTTTTCATATGATGACAGCCAGTTCAGGAAGGCATCATGGTACAAACTAGGAGACTCTAAATTCTAGTCCCCCCACCCCGCCCGGCAAGAAGCCAGTTATTTAATATATTTATATGAGGTAGATGAGACAGGAAACATGAACAGATGAGCTAATTTTACTTTATTGTAAGGTTTTATTAACAGAATCTTGCAAGTTTGAAGGTACATCTCTTCCTCAGTCTTTATAGCTCAAAAAATTAAGAACAGTGCCATACCAGGGGTGGGATGCTACCGGTTCTGCCTGGTTCTATGCAGTCGGTAGCTCTGAAGAGCAGCAAACACAGAACCGGTTCTGTACTTGCTGCTGTTTGGCCCGCCCCCCCAGGCTCTTACCTGTTGTTTATTTCCTGCTTTTTAACCTCAGCTGCTTTGTGCGGCACAGCTGAGGTTGAAAAAGCAAGGAAAAAGAGGCTTTTTGAATGAGGCACACCTGCGCGCAGCGCTTTTCAGCTGTCTGGGCGGCACAGCCTAAGGTTATTTTACACGCGCATAGCGTAATCACCAAACCGGTAGTAACGACAGTTGAATCCCACCCCTGTGCCATACCCACATTCCTGCAGTAAATCAAACTACTAAATAGGCTTTATCGAGCTGTTCCCTTGGCTGTGTCTCTACCCTGTCTCCCAAGTTCCACATAGGATTACATCTGGTGACTTTGGGCCAATCACTTCCCCTCAGCCCTAGGAAGAAGACACGGACATCTTTTCCTGCTTAAAAATACTGACTTGAAGGCATATATACACACAGGAAGAAATACTGGTTTCTTTCAGAGCTCTTAATGAATTCTAAAGTACAAAAGGGAAGAAAATTTCCGTCATAGACTGGCTGAATATAATATACTCAGTTATATATGGGAATCATCAACATGTGATTTCTTCACTGCACATGGCTAGATACATGCTCATTTGGTTTGTCAGGACACTGTAAGACTGGTTACTTGTTATTGACCCTCAATTCAGGCAGTAGAGGCTTGTTTGCTTCCATATCTGCTTTGTTTTATTTGATCAGCATATTTTTTCCATCTGTCAGCATTTGTTACTTTATGGAAGGCTAAACCCAGCATGCCTTTATTCAGGAGATCAGCAAAACTACCAAGTTTCAGAATCTTTTGTTGACATATGAAGCAAAGCAGAAATAACACCATACTTGTTTGATTGTAACCGGGGACATTATAGCTTTTCCCCTTTTCCAAGTTTTTTCTATTTAAATATACTGAATGTTCAATGGTCCTTGAACTCTCTGAAAAAAATTACACTAGCCCTTGAGCACTTAGGCTCGTACCTTCTAATATTTTCTGCCAAAACTTTCCAGTTTCTTTATTTTCGCCCAATATTTATTTAATTAATATCCCATTTAACATAGTAAAATCATGAAAAAGTTTATAGAAATCTACAAAATTACAGAAATATTAAAAACAGTATTTAAATACTTTAGTATTCTAAATCAACTAGTTCACAAGTCTGTAAAATTATAAACCCATAAAGGTTACTTAAACCATATGCAAATATGTTCAGAATAGACACAACTGAGAAATATTTCAGTAACAAATCTGAGTTTGTATAAAATTATGAAATTAATTCATGAATTTTATTTTGTAATATTGACAATAGGATTCTGTAGTATTTTATCAGGGCCCTAGGGCATGGTATTCATTATTAACTACTACAAGTACCAAAGTATTTAATTCATAGAAAAATAGATTTTCCAGCATGCCACATAAGAAAAGTAGGATACATTAATTTTTAAATAATACTGCAAACAAATTCTTCTTTTTCGTAACTTTTTTTCAGAGCAACATAGTGTCCAATAAAGTTTTTTTTCCCATTCATATCAGGAATCGTTCATCTACTAATGTCTTGGATGCTAAATTCTTCTCCCCAACAGTATTACGAATGAACCTGAAAATCTAAGAACACAAACCGGATTCAGTTGATATGTCACAAATTGAACCAAAATATTCTTCGTATAGCAACAGATATCCATATGCTGTTCTGCTAACTTACATACTATTCGATCTCATATTGATTATTGTCTTAGATTGTGACAAATTGATATTGCAGTGCATGACAAAAAGGGGGACATCCACTATCTAATATGTATTCATATTACTTTGGAGTTCTAAAATGTACATCAAAAGCAAAGCTTTAGGACCAGTCACTTTAGGATATATCAGTTTACAGTGCCCAGTCTTAAATATGCTATTTCAGGCTTTCAGAGAGTAGCGAATTATAATTTCTTTTGAAATTCTAGAGGTATTCTAATAGCCAAACAAATGAAACCACGTGACTTTGCTGTTTGAACAGTCAGGTTTTATTAACAATGGGAGTTTACCAGAGGATTATGCACTGAATTCAGAGTACTTCCTGAAAATGCCATACCAGATTGTGTTGCTTAATACCGAGCATAGTTATAAAATAACAATAGGTTATATATTGCCAGGTATAATTGCATAATGTTTCTTTGGAGGGATAAAAGAACCCAGGAAAAAGTTTAAATATAAATCTTTAAAACTATTTTCATGGGATCCCCAAACCAATGTTCAATGTTCCCCTTTGCTCTCTGTTCTGTGTGATTTGCCTTTTCCTTTCACTGTAAAAGATGGATTGTTTTAAATTTTTATATACAGTATGTAGCAATTTATAGATATTAATAATTTTAATAATGTACATTTCCCACAGGATAACTACAAGATGTAAATAAATGACAGAATAGAACTTTGAAGCATTCTCCATATTATTTTAATTGTGAGATTTACCTCTTGCTGTAAATATGTAAGAACAGCTGCTAAAACAAAATTCTGAGTAGCCAGATCCACAATGGCAAAAAACAGCATATCAAAAATAAGAAGGGTAGTTTCATTGCCATAATAAATAATATCGCTGAAAGAATGACCTTCATCTGCAAAAAATGAAAAATAAATAAAAGGTTAAAGATTGAAAATATCTGCTGAATAACTTGCCTTTCAAAAAACCCAAAGTTTATTTTATAAAATCATAACTACTACTAGAATGTTTTTTTCAAACTAGGTTCCATCCCTCATAATGCATAGCCAAACAGCTGTACTGGAGAACTGATAAAAAATACAGAGAACATGCAATGCCAAAGGGAACATGAACTATCTGTAGCGATTTGGGAAAAAATAGTTATATAGATCTTTTTTGATTAATGCACTACTCAAGTTATATTTGGTTGCAATCAATGTAATGTGTTTAATGTATCTGCAATTCTATCAGAGCATACTAGTTGCAAAGCCCTTCTTAAAAACAAAATACGATTGAAAATACAACTGGAATCATTTCATTTCTGAAGTTTTATAGATTAAGTTATTGTCCAGAACTTGGATGGAAGACCATTCAGAAATATCAGAATTGCAAGATATATTGGAAGGTTGAAAAGACCCTGGAAGAAGACAATGCCAAATCATTTTCAGATTGTTGCCACAAAAATCGCATGTTGCTAGGAGTCAAGCCTGACTTGACAACCCTTCTAGTAAAAAAAAAAAAAAAAACCTGCATTGAACAATAGGCTATTTATGACCAAATTTCTAAGATTCTAAGATTCTTCAGAATGAAAAAGTAATCACACTTCTAATCTTCTGCCATTAGCAGAAAAGGAAGCTGCTTGATTTCTTTACACAGCAAACTCCATTCTCAGAATTAGTGCTGAAGTTAAGCAAAGTAATAGATGAAGGATTCACCACTTAATTTCATCTCTGCCTTTTCTTTTGGTAAAAAGAATATATTTTACCAGTATTTTAAAAAGCATTTATCTACATGCTGTTTGTAGAGATAAAAGGGTGTGAAATGTGTGCCCATCTAAAGAACAACTATTTAGAATTGTATATTCTGTAAATTGTAAACAGAAGATGTACCAGAGTACTGTTGAAGGTTCCTCAGTTTTGAGGAGTGATAATGCAAGGACAATTGGAACAGCAGAGTTTGGCTTGTTCCACGGGTGTCAAACTTGTGGCATCATGTTGCTGTCCCATGATGTTTCATGTTTTTTCCCCTTCATGGAGCTGGGATGGCTGGCCTGCGCATGACGCATCTGGCCCGCGGGTGTGACACCCCTAGCTTATCCTAATACACAAAGATGGTCATTCGCTTACAGCCTGATGTATTTATCTGCTGACAGATTTAATCTTCATAAATATATGTATATAGAAAGGAGCAAATATAAGCTATATGTAATGTAGTTAAGTTTGGCATTTTTCTGAAACACTAAATGCTGTGCAAGAAAAAAAAGATTGCATATAGAAATAAGTTGCTAAGTTTCCTTTGCCTTCATAAATTAAATATCTGAGGCAATACCATTGTAAAAGATGCTCTTTTCTATTGGTTCCATAAACTCCATTCCAAGAATTCTTTCTAATAATAATTTGTCCTTTATGATGTAGTCTATTTCCTTATGAACCTATTAAAAAGGGAAAATACAACAACTCAGAAGAAGCAAAAGAAACTCTTCATTATGAAATTCCTTTCAAACAAACAGTAACAGCAAAACTAAATTATGTGTTCGTTGTAAGACAATGTTTGCAAACTAAGCAAAACAGAACAAACAGTACAAAATAATTGTGCGGTTGATAATACAGATGAACAGCAACAAAAACATAAATATCAAGTCAAAGTCTATTAAACAAAAAAAATAACAAACAAAAAATAGTAATAGTGCCTCATAAGCTAGCAGAATATTGTCAGCGCAGATAACATCATGACCTGGGTATTATAGCTAAAAATATTGTTTATAAATCATATTAAAAAGCATGTTAGAAATTGCAACTATATTAAATGAACGGCAATAAGCCATCTTTGGGACAAAAGATATATTGCAGCTAATCAACAGACTTGGATGAAAGTAACACAAGCTAAAAAAGGTACCTCACAATCACATGAAAATATTTCATATGTTAATCATACATACGTGATCAATAAATGAGCTTAGAAATTTATTCATAGTGTGGTATGCTTTTGTGCTTTGCTCAAATGTGGTTGCAGAAGAATTGAGAAGCCTAACAGGACCATGTTTCTGAAAGGAAAATGAGAGAATAAAAGTTAATCTGAAGCATGTATATTTATGGGCCCATTTTGACCTTTGACTAGTCACTTTCTCTGAGCCCAGGAAGAAGGCAATGATTGCATATTGCTTACTGCTTGGTTGTTTATCTGGTGTTAATCCTGGTGTTAGTTCCTAATTATCTGGATGTTGACTGCTAGTCAGGAGATGTTTTTGTTTCCTTTCTAACTTTTACTGTCTCTTTTGAATGGTATGTAAATGTTTACCTTTTATGTGAATGTGATGGCTGATTTATCGAAGTGCCAAGCTTTCAGGAATTTCGTAGAATTATTAGATTTAGTTTGGTCTAGGATTTGGTCAGTTTGGTCAGTTTCCCGCTTAAAACTATGGTTAAATTGCCCATGTGTTATGAAATTAAGGAGTTTTCATTGTGTCTCCTGATTGTTAGTTGTGCTCTATACTCTGCTAGTTCTCTACTACTCTTCTGTTCTGTATAGTGGCTATTAAAGTCTTCATTACTGTATGTCAGCTCCTGTTAGTTCCTGTTATCAAAGGCTGAAGGGGTGGTGGTAGGCAAATGGGCAATATGATTGTGTGTATGTGATGGAAATAGGGAAGGGGGAATGGCAGGTGAATGAAGACTGGAGAGGCCCAGAACCAGTTTGTTCCAGAAGCACCAAGGCCATGCACCCTGAGAAAAGAATGTGAGTTGCCCACAACATCTCACTGTTTTCATAACATTTTGACAAGACCCGATTGGTGGGGGTTGCTAGGGGAGGGAAGAATGGAACATTTTCTGCATCTTTTTCAGTGGGAAACTCTTAGAGCTATCCTGACTTTATTGCAACCAACTTCCTTTAGTAAAAGAACCTTTTGCTTCAAGCTGATGGAGTTTTCTAAGGGATCAGTATGGGGCAGTCTGACACTGTATGATGTAGATGATTCCTGTTTTTTTCCCCTTCAGTTGGGCTACTGGGTCTTTTAGATTATTTAAGATGTTTTGGAGGGCTTTAATTGGCTTGTGGTCTATGGTGATGTTGTGGGTTGTATTATACATAATTAAAAAAGCTAAAAAGGAAACAAAAAGTCTATAAAAATTCATTGAAAGCAGTCAACACCCAGATAAGTAGGGATTAATTAACACTAGACAATCAAGCAGTAAACATCTAGGAACTACCCAGAAGAAAACAACACTGCCACTAACACTGTCAGGACAAGCTATTTATATAAGTATTTAGCACTGAAGATGTTAGCTAGTTGAGTAACAAAACGCCTACAACAAACAACCAAGCTTGCATAACACTAAGAACTTCATAGTTCAACCCTGGGCTATATTTATTTTCTTCTAAGAGTATTTGTCAAACCCCAGCAGTATTCTGCACTAATATTACTATCTAAAAGGACCTCATCAACCATTTTAACATACAAATGTAAAATAATAAACTCCACTCAAATTGTAGGAATATGAATGTAGAGTGATGATCCACTTATATAGCACATAAATAGGAGAATAAATAATGAATCCTTGGCTATACAAAGATACATAAAAGTGGGAAAAGTAATCATATCAAATACAATATTTGTATTGATCCCATATATTCCAGCAAAAATCATATTTCAAATATTTGATAGCAAACAATCTAACAAGAAAAAGTATATACCCTTGTCAATGATTCATGAATCTTATCATATTGCTGCCTCATTTTGCTTGAAATGGAAATCTGAAATGTCTGGCCATCTGTATTTGGTAATAAACCTCTTTGGCTACACAGATTTTCCTGAGGAAATGACACAAAGTAGAATTGATGAAATAACATTTACAAAGATTGAACGTTAACATTTTATTATGTAGGTTGGTGCTTCTCTACTTTGGCAACTTTTAAAATGTATGGACATCAACACCCAGAATTCTATAGAAAGCAAAATCTGAAGCTGAAGTACACACATTTTAAACTTGCCAAGGTTTAGCAACACTAATGCAAGATGATCCGATATAAACTGCAAAAAACCTGAATGAACATTAGATTGGAATAACAAATTTTTTCTTTGCCGCCATCTGGATTTTTCTAGCTAAGGTCTGGAAGCCCCATATTATTCCTGTCACAAGAGAACGTGTACAGTATGTAATTCCAGAACTGTGAAGAATCTAAAATTTTGATATAAAATACTGTTCATAATGGTAAGAACAGCCACCACCAAAAAGTGATGAAAGATAATATTGATATGCTAACGGTTCAGTTGAATATAGTTTCTCTTCAGGGAAATCTTATGGAGATCAGGGTAAAAAATAAATAAAGATGGCAGCCACAACTTTACCTGTCTCTTTATGCACATTACAAAGCAAATTAAAAGAGGGTGGGGCTTTGGTTATGCATTTCTGGTGTCATCTTGACTTTTTGAACACTGTTCTGCAGATGCCCTCTCTGTGACCAAAATTCATTAGGATACTCTTACAAGCTTTAGCAATTTAGTTATTCCTTTTTTTCCTGGGTGGCTTAAAATTAAAATATGAACAATACAATAAAGGTCAAAATAAATAAATAAGGCAACCATACAAATAATACAAACATTAAAAAAAATTAAAAACTCCTTTGAAAGAAATAATGGATTGCTTTATGTATTAGCAGAAATTCTGAACATTTCCCAGTTAAATATTGTTCATTGTAGTGTTAAGTTCACATGAAAGATTTTATTTGAACTTGTCTCTGATAAATTCCATAAGCTGTGACAGAATTGGCATATTTTGAAAGATCAAATGCAGGGAAGGTAGAAGAGAGTAACTCTTAACTGTGTATTAATGAATGAAATGAACTTAAGGTTGTAGCAGATTCCTCAAACAATTAGAATTGTTAGAATGAAACCATTTTAGATTTCCAGTATTCTGGTTTATTCACTTACTGCTTCCCTTTTTAGGTTCATATTCATCTCTTCCATATTTGTATCTGAATGGCCATGCACAGATCGCCCATGAATATAATACCCAAAACATCTCTCTGATAATAGGAAAACTGAAACCTGCAATGTGAGAAAAGTAAAATGAAGCATTTTAATATACATTCAGATAACAAGAACAATTCTGCTCACCACTGCATTTTGTAAATGTATTACATCATCACGCCTATGTTACAGAGAATAAGCAACTATATTTGGAAGCCAGGATATGTTTTAATTTTGAAGCACCTTTGAAATTGTATGTGTGACCATGAGACCCTTCCTTCCACGAGGCTATATCAGTAGGAACAACTTCTTTACTGGACTGGAATACAGCACAAACATAGCAACAACTACACTGGGAGGAATGAGTTTCGTTAAATATTCAAATGACATTACACTGGGCATTAAATAAGAAAAGGGAAAATCAGTCCTTTGTCTCTCTTGCTCACATCTGAATTCAGACATTTGAAAAATGGAATTATGAATTTATCTCAGAATATCATCAAAAGCTTTCCTATGGATGGGACTTTTTTTTACAGGTCTACATCAGTAAAAATATAAGGAAATAAAACCCAATGCGTTTTAGTAAAACAAAATTGGGAAGTTGTTTAGAAAAGGTAGTTTGGGATATAAATTATTAGTATACTAATAATATAGATATATATTATAGATAGTATATATATATGGATATAGATATATAGATATATGGACAAAGCACATCTTTTCAAATATAATTTTGAAATGCCTGAATATGAACAGCCTTTTCGAAGAAAGGCACTATTTGGAAGTGTAAAATACTTACATTACTCATGCAGCATAAATCAACAAACTGTCTGATCTTATCTTCAATAAATCTTTCATAAATGACAGAAAAATATACCACCTGTGAAAAAACAGATTTACAAGTAAGTTAAAAAAGAATTGATGTTTTTCTCTTTTAGCCAGTAAGATACACAGATTAAGATGTCAAACCAGGCTGGGCAAGCCAGGTTCAAATTGAAAGCTCACTGGTGACCAGCCCAGCTACTTCCTTTCAATTCTATCCACCCTACAGGGGTGTTATTTTGGAGGAAAAAAAATAGAAATTAGAGTACTATATATTGTTTCACTTCCAGAAGGAAAGGCAAACAAATCTAACAAAAATTAAATAGGCATTGCCATGCGACTGGTTTGTAGAACTGAAGAGATTTTCAACTCTTGTCAATTCCATAATAACCAAGCAACTATGCAAACAAATATGTTCAGAATGAAGGAGGAACTAGCATGGAATGTTCTGATTTTCAATGATTTTTGGTTAGAATATTCAAGTAGTTACAGACTGTCTTTCCTCCAGCCCAGTGTTGGCTCATGAGCTAGAAGCAAGACAGCCAATATAAACATTTCCAAATGTGTTTTTCTCTCTCTCTGAGTCTTCTAGATAGGTAGGCCCTTTGACCTTCAGTGATATTCCTTTCTGTAGACTAGAGGAGGTAAGACTTAGATGAGGGAATAGAAGGGGAATTTACCAAATTTGCAGATGATACTAAGCTGGCAGGAATAGCTAACATCCAAGAAGATAGGCTCAAGATCCAGATGGATCTTGACAGACTAGAACACTGGGCCATATCTAATAAAATGAAATTCAATATAGAGAAAAGTGAAGTCCTACACTTAGGCAAGAAAAACCAAAAGTACACATATAGACTGGGTGAAAACCAGGCTCAATAGCAGTAACTGTGAGAGGGATCTTGGAGTCTTAGTGGACAACCAGCTAAATATGAGCCAGCAGTGTGCAGCCGCCGCCAAAAAAGCTAATGCAATCCTAGGTTGTATTAACAGAAGGATACAGTCAAGATCAAGGGAAGTACTAATACCACTCTATAAAGCCTTAGTAAGACCACACCTAGAGTACTGCATCCAGTTTTGGTCACCACATTATAAAGAAGATGTTGAGACTCTAGAAAAAGTACAGAGAAGAGCAACCAGGATGATGGGACTGGAGGCTAAATGATACAATGAACGGTTGCAGGAACTGGGCTTGGCTAGTCTAGTAAAGAGAATGACTAGGGGAGACATGATAGCAGTCTTCCAATATTTGAGGGGCTGCCACAAGGAGGAAGGTGTCAAGCTATTTTCTAAAGCTCCTGTAGGCCAGACAAGGAATAATGGATGAACAAGGAGAGATTTAACCTGGAAACAAGGAGAAACTTTCTGACAGTGAGAACAATCAACCAATGGAACAGCTTGCCCTCAGAAGTTGTGGGAGCACCATCACTTGAGACTTTCAAGAAGAGATTGGACTGCCATTTGTCAGAAATGGTGTAGGGTCTCCCGCTTGGGCGGGGGGTTGGACTAGATGACTTATAAGGTCCCTTCCAACTCTGATTATCTGTATCTGTATCTAAATATGATAGAATGAATGTCATAGTCTTCAGCTTAAAACAAATTAGTATTTTTCCATTTTATGGAATTAATTTCAATACTAGTAAATGTTTTATTTCCAATAAAATTAAATGAGTTACATATAATACTCATTAATGAGTCTTCCAAGAGATGGCTCTTAATTCATGTATACTTGGGACTGACAATATATTAAGAAAACCAGATTCTGGTACATAGGTGCAAATCCTTAGTTGTGGAAAGAGAGAAAAAGTCATTCTGTCACAATTCTCTCATTATGAGAGAGGTCAGTATAATTATAACAATTTGCTATATTATCGTTTGAAATATTATCCATTTTGTTCCTGAAAGTAATAAATAAAGCCACTCCTGAAGAAAAACTTGAGAAACTGGATTTTATCAATTTACTATAGATATCTACATGTATGCTGATGACTCATACACAATAAAATCAATTTAATAAATGTGAATCATCTGGTGGGAAGGTAGTCACAGTAAAATGATTTTATAGTTTTACCTGAATTACAGCAATCAATAGCCAAAGTACAGTGGATATACCATATCTCAAAATGCGGCTCCAGGGTGCTATATAACTTTCAGGGTTTCTAGTTAGACCAGAAGATGAATCCATTAAGGCCAAGTTTGAAAATCCTACAACCTATAAAGGTAACAAACAAATTACAGTCATACCTCAGTATTCAGCTGCTTCAAAACTCATCAAATTTGGTAGTCCACATATTTTAAGCAAAAGTCTTGTCCGGGCACTTAGTCTTTCTCCCTGATACTCGATGCGCAAGGTAGAACTTGCTGGCATTGTCTGCCTCATGACTCCCTACCCCTTCCAGCCAAAATAAAGGGTCATGTGGTAAGTCACATGATTTGCTTGGTATCTGTTTTTAATATTAGTCACGCCCCTTGGAATGAAGCCCAGATGAGTACCAAGGTATCAACGTATTGATTATTTTTTAAAATATCTATTAGCAAAGATTTTCTAAGGAATAAAGGTGAATATACGTGTCTCAGGATAATGTTGCACGATCCAATTTGGGTCGGTCACTGGGACCAGCGGTTTTGGTTTGAGCTTTTGGACTCATGCTGGAGTCCATCTTCAGGGAACTTCTCTCTTGCAGAGTGTGCTGTTCTGGCTGTAGTATTTATGGTGCCTGTTGTATGTACATTTTTAGATGCTGATTGGGGGGATGTTGATGACTGGGCTTTTAAGTTGTTGGCTGCCGTTTGCTTGTGCTCCAAGCAATCTTTACAATGCATAATTTGTTCTCGTATGGTAGCCTCTGGGTGGCGTGCGATGTCCATTTGCAGATCTCAGAAAATGCACACTACAGTACAGCTTCTGAAATGTTTTCGATGTATGGCAGGACATGCCATGTGATTGGTCTTGTACCTTGTTTCTTCCTTTCTCTCCCTACCATGTTCTGCAGACATCTTGTCAGACACTGTCAACACGGTGTGCCCACAATCATTCATCACAAGAGGAACAAGTGGGCACCGCACACTGCTCAGTGGCTACCATAGGAGGACAAATTATGCTTTGTAAAGATCGCTTGAAGGTGGGAGATGTAATCTACTGAATCCCCTACATGGATTGTCCCTGTGACTATGTAGGACAGACAGGGAGAAAGCTAACCACCAGATTAAAAGAACACAAGCGAGTAGTCAGAGAGGAGACTCAAACTCATTGGTAGCCTCACACTTCAATAAACAAGGACACATTCAAGTTTGCAGCTACTAAGATTGTTGGACAACCAGGCACAAAAACAGACAGAGAAGTGATTGGAGCCTGGGAAACAGGCCCCTCGTCAGTCAACAGGAGTGCCTTCTAAGTATTATGTACTTAGAAGGCAAGGGTTAGGCAGCACAAGCAAATCGGCCAACGACTTAAAAGCCAGCCATCAACACACCCCAATCACATCTAAAAAGCACATACAACAGACACCATGTACACAACATAGAACAGCACACACTTTACTGGAGAGAAGTTCCCTAAAGATGGGTTCCAGCACGAGTCCGAAAGCTCAAAAGACAAGACCTCTGGTCCCAGTGACCAATCCAGATTGGATCCCGCAAGATTTTCTAAGTTGCCTAGATGAACACTTTCAATTTTTGAATATACTTCAGCAAGCACAAAACAGCAAGTAATATTTTGTTCAATTTCATTGTACACATGTTGTGCATTGACGATTTGATTTGATTTGTCAGTATCATTTTTTCCTTTAAATAATACTAGCTCTTGAGGTGAGTGTGGAGATCTTATTTCCCCAGATGTTACTAAATTATTGTTCCCAACCAGAACGGCCTACAGGAAGAGTTGTTGGAGTTAATTCATCACAGCTCTGGCTTTAGGGTACAGGAAGGCTTGCAACAATAATGTAAATGGTACTTGATTAGAGTAGTAAAGTCAGAAGGTAATACTTCTCAGATGAAAAACTTATTCTGGAGCTTTGTAAACATTTGTTACAATTCCTACCAAAGACAGTTAATATTTATTTTTTATTTTTTTGCTACATTGATACTTAGCAAAAATTAAAACCAACCTCAAATAATATTAGACTTGGAATTTTATAATTCACATGAATAATCTTGCATTTTTCAGTTGTTTGTTTCACTTTCTGCTTTATATATTTGTCTCAGCAGCCAAAATTTAAACCTGCAGAAGGAAATGGCAGCTGGAATATAAATCCAAGTTCTAGTCTAGTCCTAGAGTGTATTATGAAGTAATCTACTCATCTTTCTCTTATCTTAGTTATATGCATGAAACAAATTTGTTCTTATCTATGTCTCATATAAAAAGTATGCATCAACTAACTTTTATTCTGCTAGAAAATCTATTTAGTATAAAATAGTATAAATTTAAAAGCATATCGTTCTCCTAGACACTAGATTACCTGATTTGACCTCCCTTGCCTGATTTATTCAATATTTGACTCTGGCCAAACCATGAATAAAATTACACTAAAAAGGCCCCAGAATGTTCTTCCAGTCTTTCAAATATTCTCTAAGCCTCAGAATAGCTGTTGATTTTAGTAAGATAATAGAAGTAAGAGAATGGAATTTACATGGGTGACAAATAAGCACATCTATTCTTTTGTTATATTGTCAGAGAAAAAGCCATTAGCCTGTCTTAGGAAATGAGGTAGTAATGAATAAATCATATTTCAATCCAAACAGCATCTGCTCCTATTTGATGGGAAATCGTTCTTGGCTGTACCCTGACCTCATTTATTATATTGTATTGTATTGTGGCTATTCAGTACATGGCTACAAAAGTATAGAAGAAGTTGATACAGCTTTGGTTTGCTGAGTATTACTGCATAATAAAGGGAATTGTCAGGAAGCTATCACCCATGTTGGATAGAATTAGACAGCAATAGAAAACAAAAGTTAAAACTTAGCAAAAACATTAAAGAAGCTTTTCCATTATTAAGACTCAGCCAAGATGCACCAAAATATTTATGTTGGCTCCTGAAAGCATGCCCTGCTCCTGATGAATTCTTCCAATGGTTCCTGAATTATGATTAAGACTTGTAAAACTGTAAATGTGGTCTGGATGGGTATATACAAATAGACACCACTAATAATTTTTGATGTTGAATGTAAAAGAAAAAGCTAAATCTTAAATGACTGAACTGGCAATTCCAATGCTCACATGTTGGGCTGCTCTTGATCATTCAACATTGCCCTTTGTTTAGAATAATAATTGACAACATGCAGTTAATCTATTGGCATTCAAACTAAAAAAAGCTGCTCATCAACAATCATTACACTAACAAATAGGACATAAAATGAAAAGAAGATTCTCTTCTTTTATATGATACCTTAGGAGCCCTGGTGGCGGAATGGTTAAATGCAGTATGGCAGACAAACTCTGTCCACAGCCTGGAGTTTGATCCTGACAGGGCTCAAGGTTGGTATTCAGACTTCCATCCTTCCAAGGCTGGTAAAATGAGGACCCAGATTGTTGGAGGCAATACGCTAACATTGTAAACCACCCAGAGAGTGCTGTAAAGCACTAGGAAGCAGTATATAAGTCTAAGTGCTATTGCCATTTCTCAAATTATGAAGTGAGGTGGTGGTTTTGATTTCTTTAAATTTTCCAAAAAGGTATAAAAATGGCCCTCAAACATCAAGCAAGGAAGAACATAAGCATAGGAATTCCTACTCTGGTAAGAAGCTCTTCTGTACTTCTCTTTGCTTCTTTTTATCCCAAAGGAGCTAAACCATCTTCCAGTGCACCAGGTGGACAAAAACAGCCAATTTGCCTAAGAAGGATTTTTTTTTCTCCATCTGTTTCTCTTCTTCCTGAACTTTTTTTCTTCTTACAAATAATGTTATCTTTATCCTATTTTCCTGAGTTTTTATATCTGCAAATCTCTTTGATTTCTTTGCAAGACACCTTTGTTTTCATTTTTGCTGTATGCCCTTCCAGACTATGTACCATCAAAATGAACTTCTCAAAATCATGTTCTCTGCTTTCTTTGATTTCACCCTTGTCTTTCTCTCATAAAACTGAGAATTACATTCCCAATAGACTCTTAGTGACTATTTGATTGTTTGTATGCAACTGGCTTAATATATACTTAATGTTACTAGTTTGATTATTATGTGTACAGTAATTTCATCATTGGACGTCCAGATTACATAAGTCAATTTAAGGATGTTCAGAACTGGTATTTTAGGAGGTCCAGTTTGTGACAACTACTGTATTATAAATGTGATTTTTTTCCATTACTCAATTTTCATGAGCCAAATATGTCTTGGAACAGTGGGAAAAAAATGTCACCTCTAAAAAGAAGAGAACAGCAAGCACTTGGAAGAGAGGATTTATTTTCCTAACGGTCTGAATTTCATTCCACTCATTTGCTATGAAGTATGTTCTCCATATGCTGACTGGTGCAGAAACACTTCTTATGCCATTTTCTCCTATAAAGAAGAAATGTATGTTAAAGATTTTTATTTTGGCCTCAATGACACAAACCTCACTAGTTAGATTACATTAGATAATGTAACAAGATTATACTGTATAAAATTAACATAAAGCATATCATAGATGTTTAATGAAGTTAAATAACTTCGTGTATTTTTGTTCCTGCCCTGGGTGTATTTTATATAATCCAGTATGTAAATGTTAAAAATTTGGGTGTGCACTCATTACTTATCCAAAAACTGTATAATGGATTTTACATGTTAGCCACATGAACAGTACTAGAACATGAAAAGAATGTGTACAGTTACTTCTTATATAATATGAGAACGAAGGTATAGATGTGGTTACATATATCTGTACAAAATAAACCTCTTCTATATATAGAATGCTTAGAATGAGATTTGCACCATTTCTGAAATCATCAAGTTAATCAACCAAAGGAAAAACATTTTATACCTTCTACTGCCTTAAGAACTTTTCCTTTTGGACGTTCCCAGTCGATGAAAAAGATATCTACTGTAAGTTGGGAAACAAGTAGATGCAAAAAATGCAGCGCCTAAAAATCATTAGATGAAATTAAAAAAAAACCTTAAAATTATTGTCTTGGAAAAGGAGACAATTCTAGAAAAGCAACAGTAACTTAGAATTACATGAAGAAAGGCATTTACATTGCCACCTATCAAATAATAATAAGAAAAGTCAAGTCTAATACCTCTGCCTCTATTGCCATTAGCAGGAATTGCATGTTCTACATGATGGATGACTTGGAAATTCCTTCCCTATGCAATCCCAATCAGATCGCAGAATTACAAAATGCATGAATTATAAGGGAGTTTGTAGGTCATCTTTTCCAAGCCTTCCAATAAATCATTCCCGATTGGCTAGTGATGCAGTTCCATTTGAAAGCTTCCAACAAGTCCAATACTGTTTTGGACAGGCTGTTTCATTTAGCAGCTTTTTCCAGTAGGAAATTCCCAGTAATAACACAATTCCTGGTGTATTTATTCAGGTGTAAATTTCTAAAGAACACAATTTTTAAATTCTTGTAAAAAGCTGTTTTTCCCCCTACCTCAAATCCAGTGTTGAATTATATATAGAATCTTTATGCTTCACTGATATACATATATGTACACTGCTCAAAAAAATAAAGGGAACACAAAAATACGACATCCTAAATCTGAATGAATGAAATATTCTTATTAAATATTTCTTTCATTACATAGTTGAATGTGCTGACAACAAAATCACACAAAAATTATCAATGGAAATCAAATTTAGCAACCCATGGAGGTCTGGATTTGGAGTTACACTCAAAATGAAAGTGGAAAAAAACACTACAGGCTGATCCAACTTTGATGTAATGTCCTTAAAACAAGTCAAAATGAAGCTCAGTAATGTGTGTGGCCTCCATGTGCCTGTATGACCTCCCTACAATGCCCGGCCATGCTCCTGATGAGGTGGCGGATGGTCTCCTGAGGGATCTCCTCCCACACCTGGACTAAAGCATACCCCAACTCCTGGACAGTCTGTGGTGCAATGTGGCATTGGTGGATGGAGTGAGACATGATGTCCCAGATGTGCTCAATTGGATTCAGGTCTGGGGAACGGGCGGGCCAGTCCATAGCATCAATGCCTTCGTCTTGCAGGAACTGCTGACACACTCCAGCCACGAGGTCTAGCATTGTCGTGCATTAGGAGGAACCCAGGGTCAACCACACCAGCATATGGTCTCACAAGGGGTCTGAGGATCTCATCTCGGTACCTAGTGGCAGTCAGGCTACCTCTGGAGAGCACATGGAGGCTGTGCGGCTCCTTAAACAAATGTCACCCCACAACATTACTGACCCACTGCCAAACCAGTCATGCTGGAGGATGTTGCAGGCAGCAGAACGTTCTCCATAGCGTCTCCAGACCCTGTCACGTCTGTCACATGTGCTCAGTGTGAACCTACTTTCATCTGTGAAGAGCACAGGACACCAGTGGAGAATTTGCTAATGTTGGTGTTCTCTGGCAAATGCCAAACGTCCTGCACGGGGTTGGCCTGTAAGCACAACCCCCACCTGTGGACGTCAGGCCCTCATACCACCCTCATGGAGTCTGTTTCTGACCATTTGAGCAGCCACATGCACATTTGTGGCCCGCTGGAGGTCATTTTGCAGGGCTCTGGCAGTGCTCCTCCTGTCCCTCCTTGCACAAAGGCAGCGGTAGCGGTCCTGATGCTGGGTTGTTGCCCTCCTACGGCCTCCTCCACGTCTCCTGATGTACTGGCCTGTCTCCTGGTAGCGCCTCCATGTTCTGGACACCACGCTAACAGACACAGCAAACCTTCTTGCCACATAGTGATATAGAGATGGATGAGCTGCACTACCTGAGCCACTTGTGTGGGTTGTAGACTCCGTCTCATGCTACCACTAGAGTGAAAGCACCGCCAGCATTCAAAAGTGACCAAACCATCAGCCAGAAAGCATAGGAACTGAGAAGTGGTTGTGGTCACCACCTGCAGAACCACTCCTTTATTGGGGATGTCTTGCTAACTGCCTATGCTTTCCACCTGTTGTCTATTCCATTTGCACAACAGCATGTGAAATTGATTGTCAATCAGTGTTGCTACCTAAGTGGACAGTTTGATTTCACAGAAGTGTGATTGATTTGGAGTTACATTGTGTTGTTTAAGTGTTCCCTTTATTTTTTTGAGCAGTGTACTATACTTTAAAATACTTATAGACTGATAAAAAACCCAACAGTTTTCAAATAGAAAAAGCATATGCTTCTGTTTTTAAGGATATGGGAAGAAAGGCACATTCTTTTTCAGTTACAACTGTGATAGAATTCAGGCTTATTCTAAGGTTTTCTACATGCAGGTATCACGTCTGACTTAGGGCAGTAATTTCATATCCCCACTGAAAATTGGGAAGTAAGCATGACTGAGTTTTCAACTATACTTCAAAAATATATTTAGCAAGAATTGTTGCATCAGCTATCAGGTTCTTACTTTGAATTTTAACCTAGCGAACACTAATAAGAAAGTAGCATTCTAAAAAAGAAGCTACTATTAAAGCTTCAGACAATAATGAATGTAAATTGTTTCCAAAGTGACATTGATAAGTTGTAGCATTTTATATTTTTGGAAATCAAAAGGGCATATATTTACCTTCAGAACAAAAGCACATGCAACGTAAGAAATGAACTTATCTTCTTGACTTGGCTGAGGTAGTAAAACAGAGACAAACTGCTGTGCCTGAAGAACAACAAACTCTGTTATACCAAACAGGATATAACACCATTATGCTTGTTTAATCATACTAGCTTGCATATTTCTTACAGAATTGCAGCAGTTTTGCAAAAAATAATGAACTTGAAAGCAAAATAGGATAGGTGCCAACTTGATCTATTATTTTTTTCAAGTTCACTTAGAGAGGAGAAACTATTGAAAAAGCATCAGAGCAAACAAAAAGATAATTTAACATGCAGAACTTGCCTGAATGGTCTGATCAGAAAAGGCAAAAGAGAAAGTAAAACATATAAATATCCAGATACCTCATAATTATACAGAACCGTTTATTCGTGTACAAAAAAAGGAAAAAAACTTACTTTAAAAAATATAAGCCAATAAATCCCTGTTCCCACTGTGATGATGAAGAAAACATTTGCAAGGTCTCCGGCATAAAAGAGAAGAAACTTCATAACTGTCTAAAATACAAAATTATGCTTTTGTAATATGCAGTGGAGTGACTTACCCCCCCCAACGAAAATGATTTTTTTAAAAAAAGACTTCTAAATAGCTGCACTACAGATCAGGAGACTCTTGACATGCAGAGGCTTCACATGCAGGAAAAGTTCAGATTTTGCTGAAATTAATTTCTTTGATTAGAGAAAAGACATTATCTACTTTTATTGCTGACTGGAAGTTTCTTATAAACTATTTGTATAATAATGAAAAAGGGCGTTGATACTTACCTGACACGCCCGTTCTCTTTGAGCTGCGAAGAGCATCCAGTAGTGGGGAGGGGCTTCAGTCTCTGCTTGTCTAGGCTGGGCTTAATTTGCAGAACGCTCCTCTTCCTCCACGGTACTCCTCCCCAGCGTTCCCCAGTTTTGGCGAAGACAAGAGAAACAAACACCCTCGCCCTTAATACGCTAAAAGTCATTGGCCAAAACAGGATCCCACCAGATGGAAAGAGGGTGGGGTTGGATGCTCTTCGCAGCTCAAAGAGAACAGGCATGTCAGGTAAGTACCAACGCCCTTTCTCCCATGAGCTGCTCAGTGCATCCAGTAGTGGGACATATCAAAGCTTGGCCTGTCCTACGGGAGGGACTCCGTCTGTCTTGGAATCCCCTCCTGGTCCCTGTGGACCCGTTGCAGAACCCTTCTGCCAAAGGAGGCCTTAGCTGACGCAAACACATCTATTTTATAATGCCTAATAAAAGGCGATGGAGAGGCCCAGGTTGTGGCTCGACAGATGTCAGTGATTGGTGCCTGCGTGGCCCATGCTGCCAATGTTGCGGTGTTCCTTGTTGAATGAGCTGTTATGCCCCTGGGCACCTGTAGTGATTGAGTCTGGTACGTTTTTGCTATTGCGGCCCATAATGGCCTATTGTGGAGGATGAGACCTTGCATCCCTGAGTATTGGGCTGAAAGGACACAAATAAAGCTTCCGTTTTTCTGAAAGATGCTGTGTGGTGAATATATATTCACAATGTTCGCCTCACATCCAGCCGATGCCATTGTCGTTCCAACCCTTGGGATGGTCTGGGACAAAAATTAGGAAGTATCAGTTCTTGTGCCCTGTGAAAGGCTGAATTAACTTTGGGTATGAACGTAGGATCAGGACGAAGGACGACCCGGTCGGAATGGAAGACGCAAAGATCTTGTCTGATCGACAAGGCTGCCAGTTCCAAAATACAACAAGCGGAAGTGATCGCTACGAGGAAAACTATACGTCAAAAACTGGAGACTTGATGATTGCAAAGGTTCGAAAGGGCACAGTGAGTGCAAGAAGGACCTTGTTAAGGTCCCAAGTGGGATAAAGGTGAACCGTTGGAGGGCATAAGTTTGTGGCTCCTCGAAGGAAACACTGTATGTGTGGATGATGGGAAAGAGATAGGAGACCTTCATAAGTGACAACTGACACCAAGGCCACCACCTGTCTTTTCAACCTATTAGGTGATAATCCCCTGTCAAGCCCCTCTTGTAAGAACTCTAGGATTTGAGCCACAGATGGAGAAATGGGATCAATTTGAGACTTGGTACACCATTTGCAGAAATTGGACCACGTGGCATTGTAGATACGAGTTGTTGAGGGGCGTCTGGCAGCTTGGATGGTGGCGATAACTCTGTTGGAAAACTTTTCACTCTTCAGACGACTCCGCTCAACCTCCAGTCAGTCAGGTGCAACCATTGAGGGTCCAGATGCGGAAGGGGTCCCTGAGTTAACAAGACCCTGTCTGGCGGAATTCTCCATGGTGGTGATACGGATAGACTGCGGAGGTCTGCAAACCACGACCGTCTAGGTTAGTAAGGAGCTACCAGAAGCAGCTCCACTCTCTTGTCGAGCAGCTTCTGGATGAACCTGGGGATCAAGTGGCGGGAATGCATACAGAAGCCCCAGAGGCCAATGGCAATGGAGCACATTGAAATTCTCTGCTCCTTGTGAGGGGTATCTGGAAAGAAATCTTGGGAGCTGAGCGTTGAGGGGGGAAGCGAACAGGTCTACCACCGGCTGTCCAAATGTCCTGACCGCCTCTTGAAAGAGGGTTGGATGGAGGCTCCACTCCGATTGATCTATCGTGACCCTGCTTAGCCAATCTGCCTGTGTATTCGACAGTCCTGAAATGTGTTCTGCTCTGATGGAAATCAGGTTGCTCTCTGCCCAACGACACAAGCGCTTCTTGCATAAGGTGTTTCAACTGAGTTCCCCCTTGTTTGTTTATGTGAGCTTTCGCGGTCACATTGTCGGTCAATATTAATATGTGTTGATTGCGTACCTGTGGAAGGAAGCTGCGGAGAGCCAGGTGTACTGCTCGAAGTTCCAGCCAGTTTATGCTGCACGACTGTTCTATGGAGGACCAGCAGCCTTGGGCTGTGAGCGATTGAAAGTGAGCTCCCCATCCAAACAGGCTGGCATTGATGGTGATGGTAAGTCTGTGGGACTCTTTGAATAGACAACATCTGTTTATGGCTGGTCTGGTCCACCAGAAGAGAGATATGAGGACCTGTGATGGAACCTTGACCTTGTATTTGGAGTTGCTTCGGCCGGGTCGCTGGTACGGGAGCAGGAACCACTGGAGGGATCTAGTGTGGAGCCGGGCCCAAGGAATAATAGATATACATGAGATCTTGCCTAACAATTTTGATAGATCAGCTAGGGACACCCTCTTATGAAACCTGATCTTCTTAACTAATTGATGAATGCTGTTTTGTCTATCTGGTGACAGGAAAACTTTGCCTTCCACTGTATCTATGACTGCCCCCAGATGGATTAATCGAGTTGAAGGTGTTAAATTATTCTTTTCCCAATTGATTGAGAACCCATGTAGTTGTAGGGAATGTAATGTGGTCTGAGTATCTATGACTGATTGATGAACAGAAGATGACAAAATTAAGATATCATTGAGGTAACACTGCAGTCTTATGGGGACACCCCGGAGATGAGCAGCGAGGGCTGCGAGAACCTTTGTGAAGGTCCTGGGGGCAGAGGCTAGTCCGAAGGGAAGAGCCACATATTCAAAATGGAGATTATTATAACAGAATCATAAAATTTTATAGTGGGAAGGCCGAATGGGAATATGTAAGTACGCCTCCATCAGATCTATGGATGTAAGGACGTCACCTTTTCTGATGCCAAGTAAGATAGATTGCAGGTGTGCATTTTGAATTTGCGATATACTAAAAATTGATTAAGATGTTTCAAATCCAAGATTGCTCTCCACTCTGAACTAGCTACTGGTTGGATGGCTCGTATGTCCAGTAGATGCTGAATAGCTGTTTCCATAAGATTTCATTTAACCGGATCTCTGGAAAAATCCACAACATAAAGAAATCTGGGGGAGCGGATTGAAACTCCAACGCAAGGCTGAATCTGATCGTGTCTCTGACCCAGGAATCAGACGTTGAGGAGTCCCATTGATCTGCAAATAATTTAAGGCAGCTGCCAATGGGAGCCTGGTCCATGGGGTTATCTTGGATGCCGGAAAGATCTATTTCCTGCTCCTCAGAAGGATCTCTTGGATTGGCCATGCCTTCGGTTCCTATCCCCAAAGTCTGACCTCTCTGGCTGTTGCCCTGGTCGGAAGGGTGGGAGTCTCTGGTATCTGGTTGAGAATGGTCCCTGATAAAAGGGCCGAAAGGACTGAGGGTTTCTAGGGTCTGACTTCCGAAAAAGGGAAGGTAAAATCAATAAGTAGCGGATCGAGGGAAGGGCCAAACAGTCTGTCTCCCACAAGAGATGACGCGAGCTTGCATTTATGCTTAATATCCGCTTGCCAATTCTTTAACCATAGCAAGCGTCGCGCTGTGACATGTGAAGTAATGGCTCTGGCTGAAAACTTAACTGCACGAAAGGTTGCATCAGCTGAGAATTCAGCAGCTGCTATAAGTTTTGCAATGTCTTGGTGTGCTCTAATGTCAGAATTGGGGACATGCTCCTGTAATAGCTGAAGCCATCTAAGGGAAGAATGGGTAAAGAAGGAAGCGGCCGTGGCTGCTCTGATGGCCCACACATCAGACTGATGGGCCCTGCATTGGGCTAGCTTGGCCCGTTTTTCCTCCGGCTTTAATGCCTCCAGCGCCTCACTGGGAATGGAGGACGAGGACGCTAATCCCACAATGGGTTTGTGTACCTCGGGAGTATTCAACAATTTTAAGAAATCTGGGGCCAAATTAAAGTATTTCCTGTCGTAACCCGTGGGGGCTGGGTACACTGCTGCAGAAGCCCACTGTTTCTGTACCAGGTCTGCAAACATGTGAAGGACTGGAATCACGTCTGCCTCGACTACAGGTTGGTTGAAGATGAGATCCTCTGGTTCCTCTTCTGACGGAATTGGAATGGTAGAAGGGGCAGGCTTGTCCAGGCGCGTAGTGTTTTTGGCCTTAAACAAGAGTGACTTGAAAAGTTGCGGGTGGAATAAGCCTGTAAATACAGGTTGGTCGGGAACAAGGCCCTCATCCTCAGACATTCCCCTTTCTAAGGGGTCCGCTTCTGACATGGCCGGGTCAGTATCATGTATTGATTCTGATTCACTCTGTTCCAACTGCTCAATGTGTTCCACCTCTTCCACCTCCTCCTCCTGCTCCTGCGGCCCCTGGAGGAGCATACCCCCTTGAAACTGTACCTGGGTATAGTGTTGCTCTGACCTGTCCAATCATACTCAGCGGGTGCAGGATGATCCCTGGTCAGAACCGCATGTTGCAGGCCTGCTGCGATTTCCTGATGGATAGCCATCTCCATCCAAGTCTTCATTTGCTCTGGCACTTCGTCTGGAAGATTGTTCCTGTTGAAGACTGGCAGCCATTGGTGTGAACATCGCTTCAGGTATCCTTCGCATGGTTGGTGATTGAGTTGACTGGGCCTGTTGACTCTGGGGAGCCACGCTGCACCTGGATGAGAGGGAGAGATCTGGGGGGGAGGGGGGGAAGAGGAGGACGGTTCTGGACTGTGGGGTGAGGAAGCTTGAGAGGTCCTGTGTGTCTTCCGTGTGCACTTATCTATTTGTTTTTCCAGTGCCTTGTGGCGCTTGTTGGCATCTTTTTCTGATGACTTAGAAGTCCCCCTTTTTTTTGCTTAGGATTGTGTTGAGATTTAGATTTGCCCCTTGAAGTTGAGGTGTGTGAACCACTACCCCCTGCCATTTTGATGATAGAATTTACAGTACGCTTGTTATTTAATGCTATATTGTATAGGCGGTTGGCGCGCCCAGGGACCTGACCAAGGATGGACAGAGTCCCCTTACCGCAAAAATGGCGACCGGCCGTTATTTGTGGTGCGCGCGCCAGCAGCAATCTCCCGCCGTGAAAAAGGGATTAGCTCCAAACAGCTTTCCCTTAGGGCTAAACCGGATGGGAGGGGTGAAAATAACCAGGCGATTACACCTCCACCCCTAAACAGCGCTCTGGGGGAAAAAACTTCGATACGATTCAGGAGAGAGCGAGAGAGAAAAGCCACACCATTTGTATGTTAAAATGGCACGGCTATCGCTATGGCAAGGGTAGGGGTAGCGGTGGGGGGATGCGGAACGAAGCCGAAGCCTCCCTCCGCTTAGGAGCGCAAGAAGCGCTTCCTGATAATGTGATCCCTGATGGCCAGGTGGCAAAGGCAGCGTCGGTGGATCGATGAGCAATTGTTAGAAGAACCTGAAAGATGAAATTGACTGTCTCCAAACCTGAACGAGAATTCTCCTGTCTTGGCCAAGGAGTAACGAAAAAGCACTGCCTATCTCTCACAAGGCTGAGCCAAAACTGGGGAACGCTGGGGAGGAATCCCGTGGAGGAAGAGGAGCATTCTGCAAATTAAGCCCAGCCTAGACAAGCAGAGACTGAAGCCCCTCCCCACTACTGGATGCTCTGAGCAGCTCGTGGGAGAACTTTTCTGTCACTGACTGCATTCCCTATAATCAACTAAAGTGAACTGAAGAACCTTCTTGGATGAGAAGCGAAATGTCTGCAAAGAAAAAAACAGAAAGTCCAGTTGTCTCCTGAAAAAGCATCTTTGGGACAACCATGACTTGGATGACTGACAATCTCCATAGAAAATAATGGAAAAAATGAACTTGTGATTTATGGTTTTGATGATTAGATAGGATAGATCATAGAAAGGAAAATATTACATGTAACTTTAGAGAGAGTTCAAATATATTTGTACTTAATTGCTATGCTGTAGAAAGTATCAGAAGCCACTTCTTTATATATTTTCCTTTCTTTTCTATTTTTTAACCCACCCCTTTTTCTTGCACATTTTGCTTTCTCCTTTTAGTGTTTGTTAGTTTGTGTTAGCTTTTAGGTTCTTATTTAAAAGTTTTAATAAAAATTATACTTGAACAAATATGTAGGGGCTTCACAGCTGATTTTTGAAAGAATCTATAGGAGAGATAACAATTCAGCACCCAAATGTGGAAGTGTATTTAGGAAATAGTTTTTCATATTTCTTACTATTCAAATAAGCCAACATAAGGCCTGGATATAATATTGTGCTGCTCTTATTGTATTACATACAACCATGCCATTAACAGTGGGTTGAAAGAATGCAGGAATAAGGCTACATACCCCAAAGAATAAACATATTATGCAGGACATAGAAGGCTCCTTCCATTCAGAGATGAGTAATTAAAAGAACCTTCTGCTATTTTTCATAAAATTTACTATTGCACATACATGCTAGGATTGCAAGTTTTATATACAAACTATATTGACACTGGAGTTTCCAGTTTGATGCTTTTAATGCAGTGCTTACATTCCTTAAAGTTGTTGTCCTGGCATAAATGTGCATCATAAAATATAATTAAACTGAATAGGATGTATTTTTACTAAATGTGATCATAACATCAAGTGTGATGCATTACCAAAGTATTATGTTTAACCAGGTCTGCTTTATGTTGCAGGAATGTGTCCTAACATATACAACTAATAATACTAGATAAACTAAGACATGTTCTTACCTGTAAATCAATCATGGGGCTTCCTATACGCCTTTTCCAGCCAGCAGTCTTGAGAAGGGACCATAGAACTGCCAGGCCGCCTAGAACACCCAGTGCTATCTGCAGGAACAAGTAAGCAAATCATATGGCTTTGCCTATGGAAATGAGCAGACAAGTTTCAAAGAGGTTAAAATTTGGCAGGAAGAGAATGCTTACATCAGTGTGAATGAGAGCCTCTGACTGGTTCATTTCATAATCGACTGAGAAGGAAACCTAAATAGTGAAATTGTTAGAATGTTAAAAGAATAATTTCACAAAATTAAATCACCTCCATCTACGTAACATTAGAGCAGGGCTGTCCAACCTTGGCCCCTTGAAGCCTGGCGGACTTCAACTCCCAGAATTCCCCAGCCAGCAAAGCTGGCTGGG